CATCTTTTTTTGGTCCAGTCTGTTTGGTGTCCTGCAAGCTTCTTTTACTTTCATAGGCATACCCTTCTGTAGGTTGGGGAAGTTTTCTTCTATGATTTTGTTGAATATGTTTTCTGTACCTTTGAGCAGTGTTTCTTCACCTTCTTCTATACCTATTATTCTTAGGTTTGGTCTTTTCACGGTGTCCCATATTTCCTGGATATTTTGTGTTAGGGATTTGTTGGACTTGAGGTTTTCTTTGGTTGATGAATGTATATCCTCTAGCGAGTCTTCAATAGCTGAGATTCTCTCTTCTGTCTCTTGGATTCTATTAGTTATACTCATGTCTTTAGATCCTGATCGTTTATCCAGTCTTTCCATTTCCAGCATCGCCTCATTCTGTGTTTTCTTTATTGTGTCTAATTCAGCTTTCATTCTTTGAACTGTTTCAAGAGCTTCCTTCACTTTTTTTGGTTGTTTTATCTTGGGTTTCTTTAGCTTCTTTAAGAGATTTGTTTATTTATTGAATTTTTTGTTTTGTCTTTTCCTCTATTTCGTGTAATTTTTTGCTTGCTTTTTCTTCTATTTCTTTAAGGGATTTTCTTGTTTCCTCTTTGAAGGCCTCTATCATCTTGCTGAGATAATTTTTGAGGTCCATCTCTTCTTCATGCACTATGTTGTGCTTTTCAGGTCTTGCTGGAGTGGAATCCCTAGATTCTGGTGGTGTCATATTGGTCTTTCTGTTGTTGAGCGAGTTCTTATTCTGTCTTCTTCCCATATCTTTTTCCAGTGAGTGCAGGTAGGATCTCTCTATCTCCTCTTGTTACACTGTAGTGTGTGTGGGCCAGGAATTCAATGATCGAAGCTCTGGATATTCTAGCCTCTCTTCGTAGTCTCCTCACTCTCCTGGCGGATCGGTCCACGGAAACTGGTCTGGTCTGTGATGAGTCAGCGGCGGAAAGCGGAGTTGGTTCTTGTAATGACATTTGCTCTTCATCTGCAATCAGAATGCCCTACAGAACAGTGGATGAGCCTGCAGTATTCCCTGCAGATCAGCATACCTCAGGGGCCAAAGGCCCCCATCATAACCCCTAGGTGCACCCCTTAACACTAGGCAATCTTTCACCTATAGGATTTGCTGCAAAGACTTTCTCAGTCTCAGTAGGGTCACTTCTACTCTCTGAACAGAATACAAAGCATGTAAGCTTTCCCCTCCTTTGCCACTTTGTCATCCATCTCTCTGGTCTCAGTCCAGTACTTCTACTGTGAACTGTCTCACAGGTGGGCCTTCTATATCCTCTGCTCCTGACAGTTATGCAAGAACTCCAGGAACTGTACTTGGCCTCGTCAAGGCTTTGGATGGTCTAGAGACAGACAGCAGCTTCACAAATAGGGCTTTGGAACAAAGGGACAGAGGGTTTCTCACTGATCAGGTCTGGCTAGCCTGGGCCGTAACTGGGCTCTGAGCTTTCTGGATTCCTCACTTGTCTTGTGCCCAACACTCCTAAGATGTGCCCAGGGATTTTGATCCTTGCCTCGATGAGCCTCCTGCCTGCCTAAAAATAGGTGCTCTGTAGCCCCTGACAAACCCTGCTTATCTGTCATTCACTCCACAACCTTCTCCCAGACAAGTTCTCCCCTTTTCTGAGGTTCCAGAATACCCGTGTTTTCTAGTGTTACTGTCATTCTTGGGTTACAATTACTTCTCTATTAGTTTTACACATTTGGGTATACTGCATCTGTGTGTCCCCAACATCAAGAACATGGGGTGGTAAATTGAATGAAAATGTAAACCTTCCCGTGTGGTATGATGGTGTGTGTGTGTGTGTGTGTGTGTGTGTGCGCGTGTGTGTGTGTGTGTGTGTGTGTGTAATGGATGTTGAAGGCCACAAGACAAACTCCTATCATGTTCAAACCAATCTAAAATCCCCTTCCTACCCCAACTCCAGCTTTCTATTCTCACTTTATCCCAACCCTCTGCCCCCCCAACTCATTGTTTTACTTCCCCCCTCAGTGCTCTTTGCCACCAACCTAACCTCCACTCCTCAGTCCACCTCTCTCTTACCTCTTCTCCTCACCTCCAACCTCCTCATCATTTTAGTCCAAAGCAACACTCAAGTGACTACTGGAAGATGTGTTGTGTGCTGTGCATTTGAGAAGCACTAGAAATAGATCCTAGGGTAAACCCCTACTCTGTTCCTGGTGGGAAACCGAGGCTTAGAGAGGTCTACCTGACCTTAAGACTGCTTAAAAAATTAGGCAGCCAGCTTCTGGTTACAAAGCAAGTATTCCAATTCCATTCCCAGTCAAAATGCAAACTCTGTCCGGGGCCTCCTTCCCAGTCACCACTTTGAATACTGGCTGGTGCTCTCAGACAACCTGATGGCTGTGCCCTCACCTAGCACAGTAGCAGCTGCTGTGTGACTATCATTTTTGAGCTTGAGCAGGACTAAGTTGATGTCTTTATGGACACAGATAGAGATGGTGAGCAGATCCTGATCTCCTCTGTGTTCCATGGACACATGCTCCTCCTTGGTCACTTATATAACTTCTTGTACCAGGTCTCTCTGGGCAATAGCCTTGTTTGTAAGCCATGTAGCCCATTTTCATGGTAACAGGGCAGCTGGTGTTTCTAGATGGATGAGTAGATCTACAGGGCCAGATATCAGGGGATGAGGAAGAACTGGTGGCCATGGGATGGGGGCTATTAGCATATGGGTTGGCCCAGTATCTTTGAACTTTTCTGTTTTCAGAGGACCTTACATGCAATGGATACTTAGGTTTATCTGGGGGTGAACAGACGTGAATTCACATCTCCACAGGGAATGTCACACAGTTAAAAGCTAGTCATTTTTTGGTTCATGATTATGCAGTTGATAATATGACCCCAGTGTGTGTTAACTTCAGGTTAGTAACTATTATAATTTCATTTTCACACCTGCCCCCCCCTACTAGAAGAATGTTCTCTTTTCAGTACCATTGCAGAGCCTTGCCAAGAGGAGATGGATGGATGGATGGACACATGGGGGCTGCTGTGACATGAATTTCACCCCTCCAGCTCTCACTGAACCACTCACAGTTGATAGTGAGATGAGCCTCTGTACCAAGTTCCTGCGTGGGCAAGGAACTCACCACTATTGCTGAGTCTGGCATCTTTGATCTTAAGTGGGTGGGTCAGACCTTTCTCAGGTGGTCTGAGATCTCAGACTTATCACCCCCTTCAGCTCCTTCCTGTTGAACTTCCACACAAAGTCCATCTCTTTCTTGGAGAGGTAGATCTTAACCACAGCTGTCTGGCATTGTCACCGTCTCTAGTTTCACTTCTTCCATGGACTTCAGTGGCTCATCTGCAGCAGAGAGCAGGGAGGTGGACCGTGAAGGAGAATGGAAACCCATGGGTCATTGACCCTCCTGTGGCCCACAGCTGGGGAAGCATCCTTCCTTTCATTTCATTTGCTAACTCCTGTCTGCTCTGGAGTCCCATCTTATGGTGTTTACAAGGTCTGTCTTCCAGTAATATTATCAGCATTAAAAAACTTATATAGTATTAGAGATCTGATAGGCACTATTGTAGCTAATTTTCACATATTGATTAATCTAATTCTCATCTAGGTAGATTCTAATATGATTCCCCATTTTACAGGCAGAGAAACTAGGCAAAGAAATAAGGCAATTTGCTGTAAATCATACATCCATAAGTAGCAGAAGCTGGGTATCGGACCCCTGTAGTCTAACTCCAGAGTCTGCCTCTTAACCACTATGCTACACTGTCCCAGGACACTATTTCATAATCTCTAAGGAATATCTATACCTTATACCTCCTGTTTCCTTTTTATACTAATTCCCATCCCCATGTAGTCTTCTCTCCAATATGGCCATAGACCCCTCAAGGCTGTTCCTCTCCCTGATAGGCCTTTTGGGTCTAGATGCCTACTTTCAGATCCAGTATACGAACTGTGCACTTCTCTTAGTCACTTTTCTACTGCTTATAAAAGGAATTGCTTATCTGGGGCTTACAGTTTCAGAGGTTTAGCCACCACGAGTATCATGGCAGGGAGCATGGCACTGGAGCAGTAGCTGAGACCACACATTGTGAGACATAACTACAAGGCAGAGAGAGTTTACTGGGGATGGCATGGGCTTCTGAAACCTCAGTCTGTCCTCAGAGACTCACCACACCTTCTAATCCTTCCCAAACAGTTCTACCAACTGGGGACCAAGTATTCATGGGCCTGTGGGGAGCCATCCTCATTCTCAAGCTGCCACAGCACTCATCCAATTACCTCCCACAGTCAGGCTGTAGGCCTGGTATTGCTCATGTTTATGTTGCTAATAACCAGCATGCACTTGGTGCCCACCTGCCTCACATTGTACTTATCCATGGATCATGAAAGGCAAAAGTGTCCTGCCTCATAGAACAGGTGGGGAAGGCAACAAAAGGGCTTAGGAAGAGACCTCTGAGATCCTCATTCCCCACAGTCAGCATGACTGACTCTGGAGAGTGCATGCTCATCTCTTTAAACATTCCCAGGCTCTATAAATCTCTCTAGCTCCATCATCCAGCTTGGTGAGACACAAAGTCCCTGTCTTCCCATAAGGCCCACATTCTTTTTTTTTTAGATGTAATTAATATATTTATTTTACATTCTGACCTCAGTTTCCCCTCCCTCCCCTCCCTTCTGCCGCCCTCTATCCACTCCTCTTCTGTTTCTGTTCAGAAAGTGGCAGGCCTTCCATGGGTATCAGTAAAGTATGATGTATCAAGCTGCAGTAAGACTAAGCTCCTCCCCTTGTGTTAAGGTTGGGCAAGGTAACCCAGTATAAGGATAGGTTCCTAAGAGCCAAGCAAAACATTAGGGACAGCCTTTGCTCCCATTGTTAGTAGTTCCACAAATAGATCAAGCTACACAACTGTCACAAAGAGGAAGGCACATATTCTTAATGTGTATGACCCCTAGGAGCAAAACTTCAGTGACCTACAGGGTTATTTAATTCAGGCTTTCTGTTTGAAGGTGGCTAGACTAAGTCATGGAAAAAGGAAAGTGACCATTTCACATCAAAATGAAAATGGTAGAATAACTAGAAACAAAGTCTAGGAACCAGCCTCTTTTTTTTTAAATAAGTAATTTTTTTTAAAGATTTGTAAGAATTTTTTAAAGATTTATTTATTTATTATATACAGTGTTCTACCTGCATGTACACTTGCATGACAGAAGAGGGCAACCAGATCTCATTACAGGTGGTTGTGAACCACGATGTGGTTGCTGGGAATTGAACTCAGGACCCATGGAAGCAGCCTTTTTCAATGTTATCAGAAGGTGTCCTCTTGGTTGGCTGGAAGAGAGGATCTGGCTTATAGCTAATGAGAAGGCAGAAGGTGCAGCAGCCATGGTGGAACCTGGCTAGGTGCTCCCCACCTTGATCCATATCATCTCAGAATTGGGGTCCTTCAGCTCCACAATGCAGTTGAAGACTATAGGGGTGGCTTTGTCTTCCAGTGGCTTATGAATCCTACTGACCTGAGAGATTATTTCAAAATTCAAGGAGCAGAGGCATTTGGGCTCTGACTAGGCTGTGCCCATAATCCCGGAGGGGACCCTTAAGGGTCTAAGCTCATTAGTTAACACCTCTTGTATCACCAATCTCATTGATCAACCGGAAGACAGAAGAGTAGGATTGTAGGAGATGAGGAAGGAGCTGCCACCATTCATAGAATAGTCATTATGTGCTTGGGCCCAGGACAGGGACTCTATAATTATATGGTTAGTGCTTAGCAAGAGTTTGTCAAATAAGCCAATATATGACAACAGAATAAACAAATATATGGGAAAAGTATAAATTTTGCTGATGTAGAAACTGAAACTCAGAGAGATACCTAAGACAGTGGAAGTGGGATTTGAACCCAGGTCTGTCCGAATCCACATGAATGCAACTGGGGAGGTGATATGAGTAAAGGTAGGAGGGTGAGAGGTTCTCTCTCTGCATTTGTGGTAGACAGCCTGCCTTGTTTGAGGGACAGGAGAGAAACCCAGGCTTTACTCCCAAGCCCTTGCTCCCTGCTGGGCACTGACCTCCCCTCCACTTCCACTTTCCTCTTTTTCCCTTTGAGCTTTTTGAGCAGCTCTCCCAAGTCAGGGAAAACATACTCCATACTACAGACCTTTGCAAAGTCCTTCTTGGGTACCTCAGCCAAAATCCCCAGCATCTTTCTCTTCTGTCACTGTCTGCTTCATTTTTCAGGTCCAGGGAGCCCTAGATTGTTAGAGGGGGACCAAGATTGTTACTGACTGTCTCCCTCAGAACCAACCTTAAGATACCCCTCCACACTCTGTGGGTTCTTGAACTCAGGTCTCTCTGACAAAGCCTTTGAGAGGCTTCAGCTGGATGGGGAGGAAGTCTGCATCCTAGGCAGGGAACCCTTCGCCCAACCTCCCATCTTCTTCCACAGCTTCTCCTCCTCCTCCTCCTCTTCCTCCTCCTCCTCCTCCTCCTTATAAAATTTAAATTAGAAACAAGCTTCTTTTACATGTCAATCTCAGTTCCCTCTCCCTCCCTTCCTCCCCTGCTCCCCACTGA